ATAACTTTGAACTCCAAGGGAAAAAAGAAAAAGAGCAATAGTAAGGGAGTAAGAAGGGAGGACTGTCTGACATCAAACTAATCGCTGCTTTAAAAAAAATTCCTTGGGATAAGAAAGGTGCTTTAATAAACTCTTGGTGTTACAATGATAATGCCAATTTTCAGTAAAGCATTTGCCTAATTCCAGCAACTGTTCTGTAAAATTGCTGATAGCAGTACTTGCCCTTTTTTATTATCTCTGACCCATTCTATCCCCCCAAAATGCACAGTTCTTCCTGTGCTATGCTCGCAGAAGACATTCAGCAAGGATCCTGGATAAAGGAATGCCATCTGCAGAAGCAGCATCTTGGATTTCAGATAAACTACCAAGAAATACTGACTGCCTTTTCTGCAAATATACTTTCTCTGTAACATTTTCAGTCATTCAAAATGCTATTGACAGTAGTACAGTAAACCCAAGTACAGGTTGATTCTATTTTCTTTAGCCATGCCACATGCACTGATAGTGGCATCAGTTGGGATTGCTCATTCACTGTATCAGATCTTAAAATGCTATTGGAACATCCTCCCACAAAAGAAAAAAGACCTGGTGGCTCCTACAAAGGCAAACAACGAAAGCTGTTAACAGAAAGGACGAGTCAAAGTAATCTAGAAAGACTGTCCCCAAATTAGGTTGTGGGGAGCCCCTTGAGCCACTATCTCAGATCCTCCTCATTTCCAGTTTAGGGTTCTCAATATTTTTCTCCTTAGGTGATAAACGGCAACTTCACTCATCACAAATCTGGAAAATTCCAGCAAAGTAACCTCTGCATACCCTACGACAGTGCAAAATTCCAGACATTTGTAAACAGTGTACATTTTCGTTTTGGCACAGGGAAGTGTGCAGGTTCCTTTATCTTTGAAGTGTAGATTTCAAACACAGTTAGTTTCTCATCTATATCCATTTTTAGCAAAGTATTATCCGTCTTGATATTGTGTGTGTACACATGTACACCCATGAATGGGAGAACCACCAATATGAGTTCTTCTTTAGGACATGGTAACAATTTAGGCAGTGATACCTGGCTAAACAGAAAAGATTCACAGTATCTAAAGCCATATACTTTCAGCCTACATAGCTCTCTGTGGGAAATGAAGTGAAACAGCTAGTTAACAAGTTTTCTCCTTTCTAAAGAGAACCAAGAGGTAACACTATAATAGCATGGCAAAACCCAAGATCTAACAATCACCAATTTTTCATTAATGACTTTTCAAAGGAGGAGATATTGCATTGAATTGGCATTTAAAAAGCTACAAATGATCCTAACCTTTAAAAATAAATTCTTACAAACAATGACCCACATGCATTATATACATCTAAATATATATAAATTATTAAAACTTCATATTTCAAATGCTTGGCAGTGATTCAATATTGTATTAAAGAAGTTCATGGCAGGTTAGAAGCTGGCCTGGCTGATCGCCGATCCACTATTCAAGCCTAGGATTGAAAACCTATGATATTCCATTTATGGACTGTGCAGAAATGGTTGTATCAACTTAAAGTCTTGGCCTAATACTTGTATAAAGTCTGACTGAAATATCAAATATACAAACATACCAAATATTAAGTGGAGTGCAAGTACAGTTGAGTTTATATTAGAAGATATTTTTAGCTATAATGTATAAATTTGTTTTTGTAAGGATTCATCACTGATGCTCTGAATTTTCTGTCCAGGATAACATGATCACAAATATTAATTTAAATAAAAGAAGAAATCTGATGTAAATATGATATGATTCCATTAATCACAAGTCCATGGCGTGATAGAGCACAAACAATAAGGTTCACTGACGCCTACTTTAACAGACCCTTGCCTCTCAGTCACGATTTCAACTCAAGGGTGGCTGACCAGGGAGACAATATAATTTAACATCCCAATGAAGACATATCAGAGTGAAAGGGGAGAGACAAGAGAAACCAGATAGGATGCTGAAAAACAGGGATAAACCAGCAGTGTTTCCAGCAAATCAGAGCATATGGTCACCCTAAACACAACTAAAAGATAAATGGTAGTGTTTGAAAGTCAAGAGTTTATCTTACAGTAGCAAACTATGAAGACTTCACATATAAGTGTCTTGCTACAGTGGCAGTGAATAAAATATATCTGTACCAAAGAAGCATTGAAAAAAGAACAAAATCTAAAACAGATCAAGAATGGCTAAAGTTTCTGCACATAAAAAACTACTGATAGCAAATATTTGGCTCTTTTAAGTATCCCTGACCCATTCCATTCTACCTTCAAGAAATCACAAATTCTACTTCCTGAGCTATACTTCAGAAGACATTCAATAAAGATTCTAGATGAAGGAAAACATTTTGCATAAGCAGCATCTTGGATTTCAGAAAAAATACCAAGAAATACCAACTAGCTCTTTCTGCAGATACATTTCCCTATAACATTTTCAGTCATTCCAAAGGCTCCAGTGGAGATACAGTAAACCCACGTTGGTTTATTATATTTTCAGCTCACTCAGATCAAGAATCTCCTAAGTACAGTACTTAGTACTAATGGGAAGAATGAAAAACTCAAGTGAACAAAGCAGAAAAGGAGGAAAGCTGAGTACCATAAGAGGGTTCTGTGCAAGGATGCACCAAAATCATCTAATAACACAAATAGAATTTTAAGATTTTTTCCCTTAAGTTTTCTAAAAAAACTGCAACTTTATATAAGGGTAATCACAGGATACTAGTGCAGATCTCCAACTCTCTCTGACTCTCGTAAGTAATCACTTGCAGAAACTCTTGACTGGAAAAAATAAAATTGAGGGCTATCAAAATAACATGAAGAAATGAGTATTGGAGGAATAAAGAGGAAGAAAGCAATTTAACTTTCTGAAGGTTTAGAACGTTTATCATAGCCTAACAAAATATTAAACTCAAAGGACTAGTCCCACGCGCTGGGGGACGCCCCTGTCCCTGACACCTCGAGGCAGGCTTGTGAGTGGCACTCCCCAAGAAGAACGAGGCTGGAGAAAATGCTTCGGGTTCCTTTGCCACCTTTACTCATCCTCCCAACAGGAGGAATAACTTATCTGAGTATAGAAGAAAGGCTGCCATTTTTGGAAAAAGTGTTAAAAGCTACTAAACTATCTTAAGTCCACTTTTGGCTTCCAACTCATATCCTTCAGTATTTTAAGGTTATGGGTTGCTCCAAATTCAACAAGCACCATTTAAATATTTAACAAATAATGAGAAGCAAGCAAGTATGGCTTAAAGATTTACTGCAAATATGATTTAAAGTATAGTTTAGATTTGGATTCTAGTACTAACTCTGATTTTCAGCAGTTGTTCGATCTTTAGCCTCATGTGCAAAATTAACGGGACTGAGTATGAGTGTGTTCGTTTTAAAATTCTCTAATATTAACAACGCTTCTCCTCTAGATATTACACATAATGCTAAATATAGGAATCCTGTTCTACTTTCTATATCTGGGAAAACCCTTCCTTTAAGGGCAAGACTTCCAAAAGGGTCATCAAGGGCCCACTTGCATCAGATTTCAGGAATACTTGTTCAAATGGAAATCCCTAGCACAGATCTCTTCAAACAAGTAACACAGGAGATTCTTAAGATCCTTAAATCTGAAGGCAACAGGTTTGATCCCCTGTTAGGGTGCAAATAAAAATAAAGTCAAATATTTTTTGACTATAAGTGAAGTCTGATTTGGCTGTTTAATTTTATGGAAACAGACTTTCCCATTTATGTGACAGAACCTTTTCTATAAAGTTAATCAGCTACTCTGGCCAAGATGGAGGCATAGGTAAGCATGCTTTGCTTCCTTGCACAACCAAAGGACAACAAATTTAAAAACAAAAAACCACCATAACTGCCAGAAAATCGAGCTGTATGGAAATCTGACAACAAAGAAGTTAAAGAAGAAACATTCATCCAGACTGGCAGAAGGGGCGGAGAGGACACGTGGCAAGGCAGCAGACAGGGCAGGCAAAGCAGCAGCTGGTGGACCAGGTGGTCCCACATTTGCATGCAGATAAGCTGGAAGGAACAATTGGGGAGCGAGACAAACTGTGTAACCCAAGGTTCCAGCATGGCAAAGTAAAGCCTCAAAACCTCTGGCTGTAAGAACCTCTGGCGGTTGTGGCAGGGGGAGAAACTCCGAGCCTCACAGGATAGTTTGTTGGAGAGACCCATGGGGTCCTAGAACATATACAAACCCACCCACCTGGGAAATAGCACCAGAAGGCCAAATTTGCTTGTGGGTAGTGGGGGAAGTGACTGAAAGTTGGGTGAGAGCCAAGCAAGTGGCATTGTTCCCTCTCTGACCCCTCCCCGACATATAGCACCACTAATAAAGCAAAGCTGTTCGCCCTACCCTGGCTAACACCTAAGGTTCTGCCCCCTTACAACGTAACAGGAGTGCCAAGACAAAGAAATATGGCCCAAATGAAAGAACAGATCGAAACTCTAAAAAAAGAACTAAGCACTGAAGAGACAGCCAACCTATCTGATGCACAGTTCAATACATTGGTAATCATGATGCTCACAGAAATGGTTGAGTACAGGTGCAAAACAGAGGAATAAGTGAATGCTATATCTGGAACACAAGGAAGAAATAAACATTCAACCAGAACAGAAGAAACAAAAATTCAAAAAAATGAGGAGAGGCTTAGGAACCTTGGGGACAACTTTAAATATTCCAACATCCAAATCATAGGGGTACCAAAAGAAGAAGGAGGCAAGAAATTTAAAAGTTATTTGAAAAAATAATGGAGAACGTCCCCAATCTGGTGAAGGAAACAGACTTCCAGGAAGTCCAAGAAGCTCACAGAGCCCCAAAAATATTGGACCCAAGGAGGAACACACCAAGATACATCATAATTACATTACCCAAGATTAAAGATAAGGACAGAATCTTAAAAGCAGCAAGAGAAAAGAAAACAGTTACCTACAAAGGAGTTCCCACAAGACTATCAGCTGATTTTTCAAAAAAAACCTTGCTGGCAAGAAGTATTCAAAGTCATAAAAGGCAAGGGCCTACATCCAAGATTACTCTACCCAGCAAAGCTATCATTTAGCATGGAAGGGCAGATAAAGTGCTTCCCAGACAAGACAGAGTTAAAGGAGTTCATCATCATCAAGCCCTTATTATATGAAATGTTAAAGGGGCTTATCTAAGAAAAAGATGATGAAAACTATAAACAGTACAATAATACCAAACTCACAACTATCAATAACTGAACCTAAAAAAACAAAAAAACAAACCAAGCAACTAGAACAGGGACAGAATCACAGAAATGGGAGATCACGTGGAGGGTTATCAGTAGGGAAGGAGTGAGCGGAGAATGGGGGAAAAGGTAGAGGGAATAAGAAGCATAATTGGTAGGCACAAAATAGACGGGGAAGTTAAGAATAGTATAGGAAATGGAGAAGCCAAAGAACCTATATGTACAGTCCATGGACAGGAACTAAGGGGGGGTATGGTAATGAGGGGGTGGCGGGGGAGAAAGGGGAGAAAAAAATGGACAACTGTAAAAATCAATAAAATATACTTTTAAAAAATGCAATGAGCTTAATCTGCAGCTCCAAATCTTTGACTAAAAGTATCTTTAAAGCATATATACAATGTATTGGATAGTATACTCATTGTAAGTACTTAAATTTATTCTTAAAATTTAGGTATCAAAGTAAACATGTGCAAGAAGGAAAACTAATCTAGGGCAAGCGCCATGAAATGGAGGTCTGCCCGGAAAGGGGCACAAGAGAATACTGAGGTGACAGAAATGTTCTTCTAGAGCTTCTTTTGTGTAGTTACTCAGATGTCTACAGAAGGGAACACTATTGTTTGCTAATTATACTATCATTTTTAACGTGTGCAAAAGATTTTATGTACTCTAAGTACATAAAATAGTGGTCTCTTAGCAAAAAAATTTTGACAGCATCATTCTAGACACACATGGAAAAAACCTCCTTAAGACTTTGGCTTCTATGCACCGTGCAGCCTGATTGCCAACATAACTTATCAAATTATGTGTTTTTCACTGTTAGCTTTAGTATTTTCAATAGCCACCTGGACTTTGATATCTAAGAACATTCCCTAACAGGATGTAAAGTACAGCATAAGGAATACAGTCAGCCATATTGTAATAAGTATGTATGGTGTCAGGTGGGTACTAGACTTCTGTGGGGATCACTTTGTTAAGTTATGTATTTAACCACTAGACTGTATACCTGAATGATACAATGGGTCACACTGAGTGGAAATGCTCAGTACTGACATTGCTACATGGTCAGGCTCTTAATATTTTTGTAATTCATTGATTCAGCTAAGCTATAAAAACCCTAATAACCAACTGGATCTCTTTCTTGCAAATGGGGCATGAAGCCCCAGCCTTCTTTAATCTTCTGGCACAGTGAAAACAAGTAACAAGATGGCTCGTCCTTCCATGAATAATGTTCCCGTCTCGTGGTCTTTTCTCACACAGACTACATGGCTTCAAAAGATTCCGGCAATCCTCCATGTTTCCTACAGCTGTTCTCTGTTTAAAAAGATCAGCTGATTGTTCTCCAATGCTTGATATGGTCTCTTGGCTTTCAGATCTATGAGCCAAATCCAAGAATTCCACTGAAGTGCAGGAATCAAAGAGTCTGGGGTTTTCTTCTTTTCTATATCCATCTTTAGGTATAACAACAGGGGCTGATATGGTTCTTCGACAATCAGGGACATCGATTCCTTCATTTTCCTTCTCTTCGGGTATGGCAGTGATGTCAGACGTGGATAGAGAGTGGGTTAACTTAGAACAATCTGAATACCAGTCCTTCCTCAAGGCCCAGCACCGAAAACAGTACCTCTTGCTTGGAGAGTTAAATTTCTTGCACTCAGTACACTGCCATTCATCCTGCAAAGGTAAGTGCAGCCAATTAATACTCACTCGGTGGGGAACATGATGCAGAGAAAAAGGGAAGATAGGCCAAATTCTCATTATCCCGCTAAGCCCCATGTCTAGACCTGAATTAAAATACATTGTGTAGCCACTTTGATAGCTACACAATTGCCAGTTCAAGCCGAAATTTGATATAGCAATCTTTTAAAAAGTTAAATTAATTATTTTGGCTTTCTAGTCTGAGTGGAATTTACACTGTTTACTTTCCCCCGCTGCCTTCTTTATAGGGTCGTTTCTTTTTGTAAAACTAACTCTTTTATTGCGTAAGAGGTTAAGAATGAAGAAGAGATAGTACTCTCATTCTTTCCTACTATTTAAGAAATGTTATAACATCTGGCAAAAAAAAGTTACAATTCTGAGATTTGAAAACTACTATATTTTTTCATGCTTTCTCACTGCTCTCAGGATCATACATAGCTAACTGTATGCCTAACTTACACTCTCTGAAAAATGGATGTTCTGCCCTGGCTGGTGTGGCTCAGTGGACTGGGTGCTGGCCTGTAAACCAAGAGGTTGCTAGTTTGATTTCCAGTCAGGGCACATACCTGGGCTGGAAGCTAGATCCCCAGTTGGGGGTGCACAAGAGGCAACCACACATATTGATGTTTCTCTCCTTTCCTTTCTCTCTCCCTTTCCCTCTCTCTAAAAATAAGTAAATAAAATTTTACGAAAATAAAAAGAAACATGTTCTTATTTTTGAATGTCAAGTAAATTTTTCTCTACCTTGCCTTATTAAAATTAGAAGATCCTTGGAGCTCAATACATTTTAAATGCCTTGCTTAATTCAAAGGTTTCTACCTGGAACAAGAATATTTAATGTGGGTAACTGCCAGGCTTTGACAACACAGGCTGACTTGATCGCTTTCAGAATGAACGCCAAGCACTTTTTTAAGTCTGGAGGTCTTAACTCAATTGCCTAGGCCAAGAGGCAGGGACACAACCATTGGTTAAACTGGGATGTTCTCCAGAGAGCCTCAAAATACTCTTGTGCCCTTTGAAGATCCTCAGTTCCCACATGAATGCTACAGAAAGACTCAAAGGAACTTCACAAAGATCTAGAATTCATAACTGATGGTGTGTTATAGTTAAATTGTCACCAACTTTTCTAGTAGTACATAAAATAATAGGGCTTGTTAAATTCAATGGCATCTTTGATTTGATGAAATACAGTCTATTTGCTTAATAGGTTTCCTGGGTCAAAGCAGCCACAGAAGTCTGATGAAGATGGACACTTAATTCTGCTATTTGTATTATGGTCAACACTTAATAGACCAATATATTCCTTTATTACTTAGCTATGCACAGATAATTTGCAAGGAATTAACATAATGGTCAACAGTGGTGGGGTGGGAATGGGAGGGATCAACACCAAAGACAACCTAAAATTTTTCTATCCCCAAGCAGCAAAAAGTAAAACCTCTTCCTTATCTTTCCCTCATCACCCCCTTTTTTTCAGTGAGTTAGCTCAGGAGAGTACTTAAAGGAAAATGGGAAACTAGCATGAAAAGAGAAAAGCAAGGAATACATCTGAGTCTCCACCTTAGTTGTCAACTGCTGACAAATCCACACCTATTACCTAAAACCTTAATACTAAATCTTCACTTATTAACCCTCGATTAATAAAATCTGTGTGGAAATTAAGCCATTTGCCATTTCTTTTTAAGAAAGCACTGAAAATATAATTTTTATACTTGATAAAGAATTGTAGACAGCTTATAAGTCTAGCTGTAGAATTACAGAGATGTTAACGGGAAAAGTAGTGCAGGACTCTTTTGAGTAACTGTGTACCTACTGCATCGTGTCCAAAGAGTTTCTATGGCAGGAAGGCACACAGAAAGGCATTTAAGCCATCCCTCTTCTAGGCAGGAAGAAGATTAGATCAAGTCATCTCTTCTCAAATTTCAAGAAAAACCTCTAACAAAATGTAAAGAAAACAACATCTCCTATTACCCAGGAAAGGCTGATAAAAATGGGGGGAAATGGCATTCTTCACAGCAAACTGCTGGAATATTACCATCTGAAGACATGAGTGGTGCAAAACAGCTCTTTCCCAGAGATTCGTACCTCCGAGGCAACCTCTACATCAGTATCATCACATATGGACTGAGAGTCCTCAAGGTCATCACTGTTTCCTGCTTCAATCACCTGTGACAGCAACAACATCTTAGTTAGGTTTACCTATTTTACATGCGGTTATTACCTGAGAGCAGAAAAGACAAAAGAGCTTCCACTGAAAGCTCACATTCCTCCTCCATCATTACCACTTTCAAAAGAGATAGCTTAAATATGAGACCAAAACATGGTTCTGCACACACCAGAGGGCTACCAAATTATCTTCTGCATTCAGGGGGGAGAGGGTACCCAATTTTATGACTTAAAAAAATAAAATAAAACAGTATTCAAGTAGAAAAGCTACCAATTATTAAATGTGAAACTTTATCTTGGGAATCTAGACAGGCATTTTAAAAGACTATATAAAGTAATTTAAATGTGAAAAATGAAAACAAAGTATTTTAAAATTTTATTCTTCATATTCAAAAGTACAACTATGTGATACTCTGGTAGTCCCATAAAAAACATGCCCACAGACCAGGAAGCAAAAAGAAATATGGAAACTGCTTTCTAAATATTAAAATTTAGAATATAAAATCCTCAAAATTAAAACCCTAGTTTTATGACATAGTAAATGCAACAAAACCAATTATAATACAATTACAACTCTCTGCGTAGCACCTTTCTCATAAAAGTTCAAGTATTTTAAGTCCCAACTCTCTACAGAAGTTTCCAAATGTCACCTTTGTCTTCATTCTAGCCACTTGCATTCCCTCCTAATGCTACCCATATAACTCATTGAAGAAAACCCAAGCATCCATCTGCCTACCAGAAACACAAAGGATATTCCCTTCAGGAACCCAAATTATCATGAAAACTCTGTAAATTAAAAGAATTATCCAATTTAAATCTTTTTTATTTACTCAGTGGATATTTACTGAAATTCTTGACCATGTCAGGCACTGGGATCTGCTGCCCAATTTTTTTCAGACTTGAGCAATCACTTTTATGATTCTTCATCTTGGTGTGCCACATCATGTGTACTCAGAAACTCCTTCCCCTCCCCCATAATGTGCAGGAAAAACTCATCTATTTCCATTTAGGTATAAAATGGTTATGAAAGCTATTGAGATGTCCAAGAAATAAGGATATTTTATTTCCCACAGGCTGTTGTGGTCATTTAGTACTTTGCCTTGTTAGCAAAGCAAGGTCTCCAGAAAAAAAAACTACCATGAGAAACCAGGCAAGCAGGAAAAGGTACACTATTGCTTCTAACGAAGGAGGAGCTTTATCCATGGAATCCTAGCCTATATTTAAGGCAGCCTTGGTGAACTTAGTGTGAATCTTAAAATTAATATAGGAAAATATTAAGACGAAAAAAAGGGGGGTATTATGTAAGTCATTTGTTGTACAAAGCGGTGTAGGTCACATCACCAGATCTGAATAGATTATACTACACACACATAAACACAATCAATGTGAAATATTTCCACAACATACCATTTTGTCTCTCACTTTCCCTACTTCTTCACTTGTTTGTTCAGTATCAGCAGCTTCAACTTTTATTCCAACACCAAACTGCTCTGATACTGACTCATTCAAAAACCACACGTCATCTGTCGTATCTGAAACAATGGCAGTACCTACATCCTAACAGAAAAAAACAATTATGAGTTTTTGTAATCAGAAGCTTATCAGAGATGTTGAACCAACATAAATGAACCCAAGCTCAATGTCCTCACTTATCTCCAAATACCTAGCCTTTCTCCAATGGATATCTATTCATTCAACAAGTATCTACTTGGCACATGCTATGTAAAAGCTACTGGATGTATGGGTGCCTGGTGAGGAATTTTCTGATTTAAGAGTAAATCTGTGTAACACCCAAGAAACAGTACTAAAGAGCTTAGTGAATCCATTCTCTACATTCGTTTCCACAAGTGGTACTCTGAGAACCTAAAAATATTCTATTAATTTTGAGTTATTCCTTCCTTCAATGGTCAATGTTCACTGAAGAAATATGAGAAACACTGACAGTAACTCAAACCTTCTCTCCACTTTCTGAATTCTTAAACAACTTTAAATATAACTTTCTTTCTGCATTCAATTATGGACATTTTATGACATGATTTTCCACAATATTCGTTAAGAGACAACTTATTATTTTGCCATTATATTTCCATTCATTTGCTGAATAAATACTAAGTGAACAACTATTATGTGTCAGATACTGTTCTAGGTGCTAGGCAATAGAATAGAGTGCTTAATAATACAAAAGCCCTGAACTTACATTTCAGTGGGATAAACAGTCAAAGCATACCATAAACACAATAAAATAATCATTTTACAAAGTGAGAAGTGCAATGGAGAATATAAAACAAGATAAAGGAGCAGAATAATGATGGCTTACATTAGGGTATGACAGTGGAAGTAATAAAAAGTGGTTGGTTAGATTTTGGACATTTTAGATAACCTGAACATGGCATGTGACAGAGAAAGAAATCTATCATATTCATTGGTATTGGGCTGGAATAACTGGGGAGAAGGTAGACTTACAAAAGACAGACTGGATAGATGTGTTCAGTGCAAAAAAAAAAGTAGTGTTTTCAACATGTTAAATGTCAGATCATCTAAGTAGAGGTGTGTAAGTAGGCAGCTAGATATGGAAGTTGGGTGTTTAGGGGAGAGGTCAGGACTGAAGATACAGATTTGTGCATTGTCTGTAGAGAGGGCACAGGTCACAGCACTGTATGAGAATTCTTAGAGAAAGTCACGTGTGGTCAAGAGTAACCAAGAATGTTACTCTTTTCAAAAGAAAAAAAAAGTTCCTCTTTAAACAGAAATTTACCCGATTTGTCTGTAAATCAGTTGAGGCATTACTTCTAGGTGTATAATTGTTTCTCAAATTTCCTAAAAACCACCAAGGCAGGCCGGCTACATCCCACTCCTCAAGCCCGAGGTCCAGCCTAGATGTCTCATCTTGGGTTAAATTGTCTATCAAGTCTTCATCTACAGAAGTCAAATGAAAAGGATGATAACAACTATGTACACAACCCTTAAGCATCAAGACTCTATAATTCTTATAATCTCTTTATAAGATAAATAAAAAGTAATTCCTACTTCAGTAATAAAGATTCAGAAACCAAATACCTTAGTAGCAGAGCCCAAATCTCCCCTGTTTACTTCATTTGCAAGTAATAACACTAGAAGTAGATAATCTATAAGTAAATTTATTAAGAAATCTATACTCTAAAAGCATCCAAACAATGACATGGTTCTAAAATGGTTTCTAAATAGTCACTTATTGGCATTTTAAACATTCCTACCACTGTAGTAACTAAAGAATGTCTTGCTCTAGTACACAGCGTCTAATAATGGCTGATCTATTGGACTGCAAATGGGAATGGCACAGCGGTCAGCCCCTTGAGATAGGAGGTGGTACAGGACAAAACACAGGCAAACACAAGGTTGTCAAGGCAGTCTCATTGGTACCACAGATTTGGGGCATCAATAATGCATATATTTGACAGATAATAACCACTATAAAATGCCAAACTCTAGGATGTCTAAATAAATAAATATCTAGATATAGACATATAGATATATATCTCCCCTCTGGATCAGTGGGCTCTTTCAGAAGTTAAGATATCTAAAATCTGAAAGTACTGCAAATCCAAAACACATTAAGGCCCCACATATTCCATGTAACAGATCCTGTGTCCTATATCTAAACGTCATCTAAGGCAGTTAGTAAATTATGTTTGTTGTTACCACATGAAATCTTTTCTCTTTCCTACTGTACAATCTTTTTTGTTGTGCTTTACTCTTTTTCTTTCTCCCTCTCCTCTACCTCTTCTCCCAATGCACTAGACATACCAATGGCAACCATAGGTGTTTAAATGTGCTGAAATACATATGGTTGAAAAAAAATTTGCAATAATGGGTCCCTGCTAGAACAAAAATTTATCCCACCTACTTATACATTATGTTGATCCTGCCTATTAAAAGATGTATCTGTGCTCAGGGAAATGTCAACTACCTTTTTACTTTTCATTGCTGAAGCTATCAGAAAGCAAGATGAATATTAAAGTATCTTCACCTGGTAAAGCTCCGTAACTTCCCATGCAGGGAATGGAAATAGACCATTCTTTCCACATATAAAAATTCTATCCTTTTTACCTATACATCCTCCTGAATATACTAAGCTATTTATTCTCAAAATTTACATCATAAACTATATATAGTCTCTTGAATTGGCTGTTCTTATAATTTAAACAGCCTTCTAAGTAGAAAATAAGCAAAAAACTGCATTTAAAGAAACAAAATTATACATTTAATGCCATAAGACTGGAAGAAGCTCCAAGGCAATTAGATAGCCCAATATTCAGTTTGCAATCAAATGCAATTTGAGAAAAACAGCCCAGCATGATAAACTGGTTCAATTTTAACTTAAACATTTAAAACAATTTCAGCAGTGTAATTTTCCCGCTACTGCTCAAAATGTGAGCCTAGACTAGAAACCATCATGCCATAAAATACCTTTGGGGAATTTTTGACTTTATACATTTTTGCAGAAAAATTTTTAGGATATATTTTATAAAATAGGGGTCAGGGGAAACTTCAATTAACTCATTTAACCTAACCAAATATATCTAGTATGATAAAAAGACCTGGTAACTACCTACCATTCAAGGGCAGAGGAACTAGCAGGCTACTCGTGTCTCATTCTTGGCTCTGAGATACTAAGTATATTTTATCATTTTTCAAACTTAAAAACCTATGAAAATTTGCATCAAGCAAAAGAATCAAAATAAAAATTCTAACCAAACCAAGTACGTATAGGGGTGCCAAGATTTAAAAGACCAAGGCAGCTAAGTTAGCACTTGGCAAACTGATAAACGTGCAGCCACCTTCTATTAGGCTTGCTAGCTAGAGGAAGGTCTTTGTACTGTCTCAGTAATCATGAGTTGCTAAAGGAACACTACCATTCTCTTCAAAATGAGTAACAGTGACAAGGATGGAAAAAAAGATTTTCAGAAAAGAATGAGAAATAAGTATGACATATGCCCTTCCTAATTTCGCATGTGAAGAGACAGCATTATTATTTTTCGAGTTGTCTACCTAACGGTATTAATTACAGCTGGCGCTTAATTTGGATAGATGCCATTTTTACAAGTCATCAACAACAACAACAAAAGCCTACACAGCCTTAATTCCACACTTACTTTCTCTAGAATTTGTGCATTTGTACTGTAAGGTAGCCAGTGTGGGAATATTGCCTTCTTCAGTACCTTTCCTGGAACTGGAACTTTCCTCTGCACTTTGCTGAAAAGAAGGGAAAGGCATCTATCAGTGCAGGAGAAATGACTGAGACCAGGGGATGTAGCAGTTCCATTCTGGCTCACCAGCTAGTGTGCGACACAATGGGTTACACACAAGAAAGAGGACTCGAGGTTCACAGGAGTCATCAAATAAAGGCAACATCTCAAACCACTGTGAACATAGCTAGGAGAATCCCAAACCTGGGGGGCGGAAAATCTCTGCACAAAAGAACGAAATCTACTGTTAAAAATAGGCTATCAATATTAATCCTTTAGTTTACTACAAAATTAGGTATAATTCAGAAAACATGTGAAATCCTAACCATATACCAAGATGATCATAAAGTTTTCCCAGGTTTGGGGAAGCTTTAAGAAATGGCCTCCAACTGTGAAGATGATGATTCTTTTTCAGTATAAGCTACTTATTATGGTAAAAGAAGCACAGCGGCAGACTTGGATCAGTGTTTGTAATTGATTAACAAAATCTAAGTTTGTCACTGAACTGTCAGCTGCAAGTACAAACATAAGGACAAGCACAAAATTCTGATTTTTCTCTTTTCATGAGTCTTATGACTAATGGAATAGTTATTTAGCAGGAATAAAATATCAAAAACGTAAAAAAGAAAAAAGAAAGAAAAATAAATGGCCTGATAAAAACTTAAACTTACTTGCAACAAACCTGCTAAAATCAGTTTCTTCAAATACCTATGAACATATACCATCACACACACACACAGGTGCGCACACAAAGAAAATGCAACTGGAAGAACTGAAGAGAAGAAGTGCTACATCCCAAAGAAAGATTCAGAGCCTGGGGCTCTGTTATGGACAGAACAGAGAATTTTCACTCTGTCCCTGGTCTGTGAACTCCCAAGAACCTTTCTTATTTAATTCTTACCACATTAAGCAAAAGGTCTTGGGAGGCCAAGATCCATAGGTACAGAGAAGGGGCCACTCTGTACAACAAAAGAAGTCACCATGTGGTGATTTTACCTTCAGTTGGTCTTGACTTGGAATATCCAGATTTTGATCCTGTGCGATAGCGAGAGTCTGAGCAGCATCTGGATAGCAAGTAAAACAAAAGGAAAACCTTCCCTGGTAATAACCATTCTTTCCACACAAAAAGGACCTCAGCAAACAGCCCTGGAGCCAGGTTTGGTCTCTAGAGATGTACTTCTCCTTGCTGGTTGAACAAGGCTCTCATCCAAAAGGAACAGAAAAATCAAAACTGGTAAAAAGCGCAAAAACCAAAACAGGCTATATTCAAAATATATTACCAAAATATAATCGGGGGGAAAATGAAAAATGACCAAAAAATGTTCTTCCATAGCAAGCTTTCAAACTTTAATATGAAAAGGGATTCCAGGAGGAAATAATGGGGAAAATTTTTACCATCTCTTCCTAAAGGTATATTATTACCAAATTTGCCTAACTTGTAAACAACCAAAAAAGGTTTGGTTTTTTAATTTTTACTTTCAAATGTTAGGTTATTCAGGGTTATAAAATCTAAAAATCTGAAATTTCTCACTTGCTTCTTAACACAACAGCATCTTCATATAAACTTACATTCTAATGTCAATGATGATTTCACAGTTTAAATTCCATCACCTGAATACAGATTAGGGTTTTTTTTAAATCAACAAGTCTTAATTTTCCCAGTTACAATAATCGCTTCCTAAGAAAGAAGAGGAAGCAGAGAAAGTGTTTTTTAAGGCCAATAAAAAGCATAGGAAACAATAACCTGAGAGAAATTCTTAGATAGTCTGAAAGAAATGTATTCAAGGACTTGGAAATTTTCAAACAAAACAGAAGGTAAAAACTTAACTTTAGAGAGTTTAATAATCTGGACCACTCATTATATCAGACTATACATAACTAAGATGCTTATAAGTAAGTCAATCGTGGATTGGGTTCATTGGCTACTATCTACTATCAATCAGGTCCAGAGATCTTATGGAAAATATCCTCATCTAGGCCCTGGCCAGGCAGGTCAGTTAGTTAGAGCATCGTCCCCATACGACAAGGTTGTGGGTTCAATCCCAGTCAGGGCACATACAAGAATCAACCAATGGCCCTGGCTGGTGTGGCTCAGTGGATTGAGCACCAGCCAGTGAACTGGAAGATCACAGGTTCTATACACGATCAGGGCACATGCTTGGGTTGCGGGCCAGGTCCCCAGTTGGGGGTGCGCAAGAGACTCCTCTGTTTCACCCTCCCCCTCTCTAAAAATAAATAAATAAAATCTTTAAAAACAAAATCAGCCAATAAATGCATAAATAAGTGGAACATCAAAGTGATGTTTCTCTCCCTCTCCCCCCATCCCTGGCCGTAATTATCCTCTTTCACTTTGAAAATCAGTAACTAAAAATTTTAAAAATTATCCTCATCTAAATAAACTAGCAGAGAATATAGATCCTACAACTGGTCTCATAATTCAGTTGTTTTACACAAAGCAAACATTTTCAAAATTGTAATTATAAAGAACATTATTTCTATAAGCATTGTTATAGATAAACAAAGATACTGAGAAGTTAAAGAGACAGCATTTTCTGACCACAGTGGTCTTGAACGCTCAGTCAACATACAATGTAGATGACGCATTTTTTTTGTCATTTGATTGCCATTTATATAAAAAACCTATCACCTTACTTAGATTACAACAGTCAGAAGTAAAAAAAAAAGGTATCTGAGAAAACTACAATGTATAAAAGAATTTTAAAAGTAAATACAAAGTTTGTCATATATATTTCATTTTATTAGTATGCATGTGGAAATTTGGAGGAAAAAAAGAACCACTGTCTCCCTGGCCAGGCGGCTCAGTTGGTTGGAGTGTTGTCCCATATACCAAAAAGGCTGCAGGTTCGCGATTCCTGCTCAGGGCACATACCTAGGTTGTTGGTTCAATCCCCCAGTTGGGGCATATTATGGGAGGCAACCAATCAATGGATGCTTCTCACCCTCTCTCTAAAATCAAAAACATGTCCTTGGACGAGGATTTAAAAAAACAAACAAACAAAAAAGACCACCTTCAGTTTAAATAATATTCTTCAACCATGAAACTAAAAGATATAGCTCATTTGCAAAAGTATAAAATAGGTGATACAGAAAACACTTGTCTTATTTGTCCTTTCAGAAAAAAAAAAACACAGAACAGGCAATCCATTTTATAAAAATCAACCACAAGTACTAATTCATGTCCAAGTCAGAGCAGACACAGTTACTTGTACTATGGTTATGTAAAGTGTTATCATTTGGTCAATCTAGGTAAAGAATATAAGGAATTATATTTATAATACTTTTGCAATTTTTTTGCAGGTGAAATTATTTTAAAGTGACAAGGTAAAAAATAAAATGTTTTAAAGATTTAATGTTCAGAGAAAAAAATGTTTAAAAAATTAATTGGAGCTAATTCTGTTACAAGCAAGGGTTAAGAAGACAGCATTGTGTGGCACAATGAAAAAAAAAATTACAAGGGCTTTTTCCAGTCAGAAATATGTCCTGTACCACTTAATCAGTGGCATCTAATCTTGGACAAATCACTCGTTCTATTAAAAAAGTCTCAGTTTCTTCATCTCTAGACCTTCCTCACAGGGTTGTTGTGAGGATCAACTGAAATGTTTGTTACAGAAATGTTCATTATTAAAATGGCATGTTAAATTCTGCAAAGGGAGTGTGAGAAAGAATATGAGAGACAAAAAGAATTATATCAACTCTAGATATTCAGAGAACAGATCAGAGAACAAATTTTACTGAAAGGTATAACAGCAAATATAAAATTCTCTGTGCATTTCAAGCGTGTAGTATCACAGAAAAGCCATAGTATTTCTCAAGTGACTGAATTTCAAATCAAGCTCCCTATCATCTGTGAGGCCTTCTGGGTGAGGTGGGCAAAGGCTCAATGAAACCAACAGGCTTCAAAATTCAATGTAAGTTCAAAATCATATTTCAATGAGAGCAAAGTCTCTTTGCTGTCACTTTAAAGTATAAATCTTTATTTGGAATGGATTTTTTCCCCAAGCTATTTGTTTCAGTAAACTATTAAAAGATAACCAACTGAAGTGCTATCTTGAAGAAAAAGTTTCATTATTTGGAAATGAGTGAGAGACAGGGTTACATTTCAGCTGTCTCCAGTTTATTAACTCACTTATCTCTTACACACCATACTTCAGACCCAAAGCAGCCAATTTCCTATACACACCACATAAATTAAACTCAAGAGGGCAGTATTTAAAAGGTATGGAATCAAGCAAAGTGTTAGACAAATTGGCATTCAGATAACAGAAAGCTAAAACCATTAGGTGAAAGGTTCTTGGGGGACACCTTTATAATGGATGGATCAGGTTGATACTACGTGAGTCCACAAAACCTTATCACTGAAAGAGGGACACGAAGACCTTACATGACTGATGTAATGCAACAGACGTAAAAAACACCACCTATGAAATCTTCTCAGCAAAAAATTTACACTTGAATCTATTCAAGCACTACTAGTTTACCAAAAATAGAGCAGAGAAACATGTTAAAGAACAACACAAGGATACAATCTGCAAACTCTAAAATGTGGAAAATGCTATGGGACAAATGATCTATTCCTTCACCAAACAAATGACATAACAAAAGGAGTGTTAGCAACCAAATGCAATGTGTGGGCTTTGCATTAAATGGGGACTTTTAACAACCCAAATGTAAAAAATATTTGAGATAATGGGGGTAACTATACATAAACTATGGGATAGTATTATGGAGTTACTTAGTTTATTATTATATTGTTGGGTATAATAATGACATTGTAGTTATATTCAAAGGAAAAAAGTCCTCATCTGTTAGAGCTTTTAAAAGTATACCTACATGAAGCAAATGTAATCAAATGTTAGTAATCACTAGGTCTAAGAGGCGCGCACATTAATTATACCAATCTATCTTTAATATAGTGAAACATTTTCACAATGAGAAGTTAAATAACATAGTAATCACATTCTGTATAATGGTGTCCCTCCCAGTCATGCCAAAACAGCATTCCATCTCCACTTTGATTCTCCTTGTTTTTCCCTTCCCATTATCTGCACCCCGCCTTGAATTCAAAGCTATGATACAGACTGAAAAAATATAATGAGATCATACCTGCAGTAGCAGTGGTTAAAGCAACAAGATTCCTTCTTAGCATGGCATAGAGAGGGCTGTCAGGGAGATAAAATAAAAAATTAATTATCCCATGGTTTTCCCATTAAAATGTTAAGTGTATTTCTAATATGCCATATCTCCCGCCTTTGTAACATATGGAGAGGCAGAAATTTTCCCCTCACATCTTTTTTAATTATTGAAATATCAAGATGTTGCCCTGGCTGGTGTGGCTCAGTGGACTGAGCACCAGCTTGCAAACCAAAGGGTCACTGGTTCAATTCCCAGTCAGGGCACATGCCTGGGTTGCAGGCCAGATGCCCAGAAAGTGGTGTGTGAGAAGCAACCACACATTGATGTTTCTTTCCCTCTCTTCCTCCCTCCCCTCTGTCTATAAATAAATAAATAAATTTTTCAAATCTTAAAAAAAAAAAAAGAAAATTAAGATGTCAATGCCCAAATCCTTGTATTACTTTGTCCCCATTAAAAACTAATTAATTTACATTTTATTTAATTAGCTAAGAGTAACCCAAGTGGAGAGATTTCCTTTGCAGACTACCACTTCCTCCTAGGAGTTAAGTTTAATTAGGGAGTTGAGGTAGAAGGGAATCTTTGACCAAAAAGAGACAAAATGACTCAGAAGAAAGTCGTCACAAAGCTGTAACTACAGAGAATAAGAGAAGACTGGCTTCTCAATTACTAATTAGCTTTTGATTGCATAAATAACCAAGTATCCCATGTAGATGAAGAAAGTCACACACAGGTCATGTAGTAACACTGTGATTTTTATGAAGCCTGCCGTCCACCTCAAACTGCCCAGCAATCCTACATTTCTCTCATCTTCTCACTTTTCCTCTCTCTGTTTCACAAAATTCTAACCTAGTCACATCAAGCTCCATAATGTCCAGGCCTTTACACATGACGCTCATCTATCGTAAGTGCTCCTTCAACCAGCTCCTTCTGACTGACTCTAATTATCCTTCAGCTCTCTGATTGAATATCAGTTTTTCAAAGAACCTTTCCTTGACCCTTAAGATCCTAAACCCCAGACTTTTGGTCAATATGGTGGCGTAGGCAGACATGGCTCACCATTTGCACAACCACATCAAAATTACAACTAAAATACAGAACCACCATCATGCAGAACCATCAGAAACCGAGATGAATAAAAGTCTGACAACTACGATATTGAAACCACACCCAACCAGACTGATAGGAAGGGCGCAGAGGCAAAACAGGCTTGTCCCTCACCCACACGTGGTGGATAAAAATTTGGGAGGGATATCACAGGAGCGAGGAATCCCAGCCCCACACCAGGTCCCCCCAGCCCAGGGTTCCAGTGCCAGAAAGGTAAGTCCCCACAACTTCTGCTGCAAAAACCAGCAAGGACTGAGTCAGTAGAAGACCTCTGGAGCCCCAAGCAGTTCCTCTTAAAGAACCCACACATGGGCTCACCGACACAAACTTATTCCCTCTGAGCTCCAGCACCAGGGTAGCAGCTTAAAAGGCACCAGTGGCATACACAGAGAAACTAAAGTATCTGGCATAAAGGCAAGCAGAGGCCACTGGCCCTTTCCTAAACCCTCCCCACCAAGCTGGTGCCATATCTGAGACTCCACAAACCTGGCTAACACTGTTTGACCTACGTGGAGAGCCCCAGAAACTATGCTCTGCCCAATTTATGGGCCCACCCAAGCTGCTTTTCCGTATGAATGGCTGGTCTTGGCTCATGCTGCACAATTTCCTAAATCTTCTCAAAAAAGCAATAGCTGGCCTCAGTGAGCTCCATGCCCAGCACTAGCAGCAGCCAGCCTAGCTTCACAGCTGGACTTCTCCTAGGAATCTCCAAGCCCAGCACAGGTAGCAGCCACCCGATTGCTTTATAACTCAGGCAGGTTGGCCCTGGGCAAAACACAGGTGGGGGCTGACCTATGTTTGCACCACCGAGGAAACCTCAGGGCCAGTATACCCAGTGAATAGCTACAGACCATGTTGGAGCACCACCACACTGCCCCTGCAGAGCTGAGCCTCTACAGAGGACGGAGGTTGGTAGTCAGTAGTCACAGCCAATCACTGTCCCTGACTGGCCTGGGTAAATCCCTCCCATTGACCTGCCAACAGCAACCAAGGCTCACCTACTAGAGAAGGGTGTACTCAGCCTACATGAAGGGTGCACCTCGAGTACCCAGCTTGGGCGATAGGGGAGGCTGTGCCACTGGACCCTACAGGACACCTACTACATTAGGCCACATTACAAAGATACGGAGTAAAAGCGGCTCTACCTAATACATAGAAACAAACACAGGGAGGCTGCCAGAAGGAGATAATGAAACATGGCCCCAGTGAAAACACAGATCAAAACTCCAGAAAAAGAGCTAAACTAAATGGAGATCAGCAATCTATCAGATGCAGAGTTCAAAACACTGGTTACAAGGATGCTCAAGGAATTTAGTGAGGACCCCAACAGCATAAAACAGATCAAAGTCAGAAACGAAGGATACGCTAATTGAAATAAAGAACAATTTACAGGGAAACAACAATAAAGTGAATGAAGCCGAGAATCAAATCAATGATTTGGGACATAAGGAAGAAAAACACAACCAATCAGAACAACAGGAAGAAAAAAGAACCCAAAAAAATAAGGATCGTATAAGCCACCTCTGGGACAACTTCAAGAGGTCCAACATTCACGTTATAGGGGTGCCAGAAGGAGAAGAGAAAGAACAGGAAACCGGAAATCTATCTGAAAAAATAATGAAGAAAACTTCCCTAATTTGGTGAAAGAAAGAGACATACAAGTCCAGGAAGCACAGAGAGTCCGAAACAAGATCAATGCATAGAGGCCCAAACCAAGACACATCTGAATTAAAATGCCAAAGGTTGAAAGATAAAGAGAGAATCTGAAGAGCAGCAAGAGAAAAGAAATTAGGTAGCTACAGGAGAGTTCCCGTAAGATTGTCAGCTCATTTCTCAAAAGAAACTTTGCAGGCTAGAAGGGATTGGCAAGAAATACTCAAAGTTATGAAAAGCAGGGACATAACAGCCAAGATTGCTCTACTCAGCAAAGCTATCATTTAGAATCAAAGGGCAGATAAAGTGCTTCCCAGATAAGAAAAAGCTGAAGGAGTTCATCATCACCAAACCACTATTACGTGAAATGTTTAAGGGACTTATTTAAGAAAAAGAAGATCAAAAGTATGAACAATAAAATGACAAGAAATACATAACAACTAAATCTAAAAATTAAACTAAGGAAACAAGAAGTACAGAGACAGAATCATGGATACAGAGTGTTTTGATGGTTGCCAGATGGGAGGGGTGAGGGGGAGAGTGGGTGAAGAGGAGAGGGATTAAGTACAGATAGGTAGTTACAGAATAGCCATGGGGATGTAAAGTACAGTATAGGAAATGGAGTAGCCAAAGCTCATATACACCTGACCCATGGACATGAACAATGGTGGGTAGATGGCCTGAGGGAATTGGGGGTGCTGGGTGGAGGAAAATCAGAACAACTGTAATAGCATAAGCAATAAAATATAATAAAAGAATAAAAATTTAAAAAATAAGATCCTAAGCCCCACACATCAAAACTTCATGTACCTCTTTTCTGTAATGCTTATTATAGTATAATTTTACCATATATTAGTGTGATGATTTGATTAAGACGGGGAAGGGCACCTGTCTCACTATACTTTAAGCTCCATAAAATCAGAGACTGTTGATCACTACTACGTTCTCAGTGCCTCAGAGGCTACCTGATTTATGTAGGCCATTAAATATTTGTGAACTAATGGAATATATAATCATTAATAATTTATGAAGATTAAGTGGTTAAGTGTAAGCACCCAAAAAAATAAACCCTCACTCTTTTTACCTTGGATCTTTCACAGAGAAGCTCTGACATCCTAGGAGTTCTCCCAAAAGATCTCCACCACAATATACCATATGCTGCTCCCGTGGATCATACAGCTGCTTCATTGTTATATACTGGCCTAGATAGTGCATGACCTGGATGGAAATAAAATACCATTAAGAGTTCTATCCAGCTGCTGTCAAAAATACACAAATTATAAGGAAATAAGGTAAGGTAAGTCTCCTAGAGAAAGACATAAAATATAAGGGGTCCAGGATCATACAACAGTATAGTTGACACCAACTACTAGGTTCATCCACTTATCATCATTCTGGACATTAACAGTCCCTTACATTTTATAATAGAAATGTTTCACAATGAGAAAAAGTAGTGAATTTACCTAGTATCCAACTTAAATTTTTCTCACCAATCCAAATAAATGGGTCTCTTCTATTAACGAGAAGGAATAAATTTTAGATTTGCCTGGGTCATAAAAATATTTTGGAAGTCCAGGGGTACACAACTACAATAGCCTTTTGGTATGTGTTCCCTTAGTCATTTAATGATTCATAAACCATCAGCTCTAGAAGTGCATAAAACAGAATTTAAATGTTTATAAAAATTCAGTCTTTTTTCACAGGTTCACAAAATGGAAGGTAACACAAGACAAGTTCATAATTCAAAACTTAAAAATGATCAAATTTTGTCCTAATGTTTTCTCAAGGTTTTTTTATCACTTAATAATCAAGTTCACTTACTGACAGTAAGAATTCTGTTATCTTAGATTACACGCAGACCAAAGCAGCTATCTTTAGACCCCAACTTCTCAGAAATTATCAGATATCTGCAGATCTATCTAACACTGTTCCCATATTAGGAACAATGACGCTCCTAGGCCCTCTTCCACCCCGGGCAATATGTCCCAGTATAAACAAAGTTCTCATAGCTAATCATGTATCTAGGGGAAAATGAGAAGAGCATCTACTAGAGAAGGGGTGGGGGGCCAAAAAAAGGTGGAGCAAGTGTTATGTCTGCCCAACTTTCAGAAAAATATACACTACCCTAAATCTGTATATTCTCATCACATCATACTGCCTATTCTCATTATACCATACTGCCTCAATGCACACACTGAGAACCAATATTTAAAAGTATTTAGGGCATTACTCTTTATGTACCAGGTAGGATCAAGATTCATAACACAGAGCTTATCATGTAAACTAACTCTGTCCAACTTTTTCCCCAGTAAAACATTTCCCCTGAACTACCTGTACTTAATTTCTTAACCCAGGTAAACACTGCCATGCTATTGAAGACAGCGTAATTTTGATATAAAAATCCACACTTTTAAGAAGTTTGAAAAAAGTCACGTATCAGAATTTTAGAGATATAGTCCAAAATGACACACTTAATTTAAAATAATAAAGAAAATATGAGTATTCTAGAAAATCTGAAATGCCTCCAGATTTGTTTCCTCAAGAGTTTTAATGGCTCAGGAGTACAGCATTGCAGATAGGTGTTAAGCTTTTTAAGAAAACTCAAAGAAGACTTAATAATTTTCTTCTTCTGTTTTCTTCTGTTTACAAAGGGTTTACCTTTTAAAAGCAAGCACAGTTTGAAGAGTTAACATTTTATTACTGAGTCTTTTCCACTTCGAGAATTCAATTTGTTTTTGTTTTTAAAAAAAATCCTTAGAAGCTAAACAGGTTTTTTAATGCACAAGTGTTTAAAATAACTCACAGTGCTCTAAAGGGTATCTGACACATTTATAATGCATAACTATAGCATTTAATTCTTGCCTGGCAGCATATCCTGTAAATCACAGACAGCGTCATTATTTAAAATCTTATGCATGTTTTGCATTTTAATTCTGAAATCAACAGACTCATAATTAACCTTATGTTTAGCTGATACCACACTTCAAAAGGAAATTTAAAGGAAATATGAAATTCAACTTAATTCGATGGTCTTTAAAACAGAATAAAAGTTGTCTCCTCAATACCTCAGGAGAACTTCCCGTTTTAGGCCTCAGTTCAGAACTACATATTTATCAGCTTATACTTCTCAGCTGTTCTTAAAACTGAATTCTGACAGTTTACCTCGGTAACAGTGAAGATTTCACCTTGTGCACCTGCTGCCTGCAAAATCTTCAGAAGTGGCAGTTTTGGTCGTACCTAGTATAAACATAAAATAAACCTGATATTTACATTTCAATTAGGTTGGTGGCTGATATCCCAGGAAACAAGAAAACCCCCTTCAACTTTTTAACATTGGTGGATACTTACCCAGTATCATACAATCTTTCAATGCGCAAAATACCTATAGATGATGATCAGACTACTTCCTAAAAACATCACACTTTCAAAAGACAGCACATTCATACCACTAAGATGGCTATAATACAAGGAAAAAAGAAAATGGTGTTGGTGAGAATGTGGAGTAACTGGAACCCTTGTGCACTGCTGGTGGGAATGTGAAATGATACAGCTGCAGTGGAAAACAGTTTGACAGTTCCTCAAAAAGTTAAACATAGAATTTGCATATTACCCAGCAGTTCTACTCCTAGGCATACACCCAAAAGAACTGAAAGCAGGGACTCAAGGAAGTTATTTGTACATCAGTGTTCATAGCAGCATTATTCACCATAGCCAAAAGACGGAAACAACCCAAATACCACTGGCAGATAAACAGATAAACAAGATGTAGTATAGTCATATAAGGGATGACTTTGGTTGCTATCTCTCGACTCTGATTGTGGAGTCTGTCTTTAGCCACACAATTTTGTTTTCTAAATTGTACGTAGTCAAATTTGTTTCTCTCTTCCTCTTAAGCTTCCAGTTTTGTCCTAAGGCCTCCCCCATTCTAAAGTTTCACAAATATTTCTTAAATTTTCTTTAATGTTTTTAATTATTTTATTTTTTACATTTAAGGCTTTATCTGCAATTTGTTTTTATACAAGGTTTGAGGTGTTAATTTTTTCCTTTCAGAGATGGCCACTTACGTCAAAACCATTTCCCCATCAAATCCAAATTCCATTTTTAATATATTGCACTACATACTACATAATAGTGTACACTTTTTATGAAAACACAAAACAAAATGATGTATTTTGATATGTTAGAGGAAAAGAGCTGGAACAAGATGTAACAAATTGATTAATAGTATTATCTTAGGGGAAAGGGACTTTGGAGGCAGAGAGGCGTCAGAAGTCTCTATAAATACTTTAAAGATAAACATAAAGTTTCAATTTTCTATAAGAATACATTCGCTTTATATACAATTTAAAAATTGATTTTTAAAGAAAAAAACTAATTAAAATGAAGTGAGAGACAAAACACAAATTTATATAACTTGGTCCCAAATTCTCCACTAGCCACCTGTACCCTAATACACGCTAGTTTTCCAAATATACCATTGAGCAATTGGTAATGCCCATACATTTATTTAATCAATTATTAGTTCAAATTTATGAGTGTTAATACTGTTTACTAATGACGTTTTTTAAAAATAATGCCTCTGCTCTGTATAAAATCCTACCATCAGTGAAGTCAGCTACAATCCCCAACCCAGTTTTTTTTAAACTTAAAAAGAAACAGGAATGCCTAAAAATGATTTACCTGCTTGATTTGTCTTGGAGAGTTCCTGCAAGCACTGTCAGGCGTTGAACACTGGGCGGAGGTAGAAAGTGATGCCATTTTGGCAGTGAGGAAATTAGCCTGTTGATAAATCTAAAAGGACAAAAAAATTACAGTATCTCTTCTAAAGTAGAAAATCCTCTCTTTAGAATTTACAAAAAATTCTAAATTCAAAGAATTTAGCCAGCAGACGTAAAAAAGACACATATGTCAGAACACCCTACAGAAATGCAATGCTGAGATTCTTGATACCTGATCACCTTCTAGTTCATAGATAGCCCAGATCCTGACAAAAAACTGAAGAGCTTGATCAAGAGTAAGAAGAACCATTCATGCAATCTACCAATCAACTTATCTTCTGGGATATGAAACTTTTTAAAGTTTCAAAGATAGGACTGAGGGGACTAAAGTTTTGCCACCCCAAAACAAGCCTTTTGGGATATTGAGTTTAAGCTGATTATTAAGAAATAGGAAGGAAGAGAGGGAGGGAGGGACTCCGAAAGAACCTTTGAAAACGCGCCCCGCCCCCCACCTCTGCCTGCCTAAAAGAATTCAGATAGAAAAATCTGCTCAAAGGAAGGGAATATTAGCATCATAATATAAACTAAATGTGCCAGGGACAAATCTAGCAAAATCTGTTTCCCTCAGTCCTATTGTTTGTGGGTAGCCCAGTAAAATTTGTTTATCATGTTTGCTCGTTCTCTACACCTAAGAGGATAGGAAATATGAAGTATGGGCAGTTCTTTCATAGGAGCATAGTCTGTAAGAAAGAGTTACTGCTTTTGATTGGTTATGGCAACAGTCCACAGAAAGTTCATGCATATGTAGGATTCGGAGGAGGCCTGAAGGTGCATTTAACGCTCCAACATATATTCAAGGAATATAAGCAACCTTTTGCTAATTGACCCAGTTATGAAATGATTAATTATTCCTGTCTTTCTCACTATCCGGCAGCTCTAATTTAATTTAGACCAGAATTTTTTTCTTGTCAAAGCAACTAAATACCTATAAATTGGGTTAAACCAAAGTGAACATATATAGTCAAATAAAGATGTAGCATGAATTGAAATACAGAATAAGGTTTAATTTAAAATTCTCAACTTCTACCGTTTCTCATTAAAGAAAAACTGTAGAAAAGAAAAATAAATTTTTTAAATAAACTTGCTTCAGATTACTTCAGGCCTTTTTCTAGTAAAAAGGTGACAATCAGTGAAATTTATGAACAAGGGCCCAGGGAAAGGATGAAAAGAACGCAGAAAAACCTAAACAGCAGGGCTAAAGCAAAACAGATTCCTCACTTCTCTTACAGAGTATCAATGCCTCCTTCCTATCAGCTTCCCTTGCTACAAAAAGGGCAGTCTATTAGATACAAGCATATAGGATACAAGCCTAACTTACACTTTAAAACAGCTAGCTTTTAATTGGCATTTCAAACCTTATAAACAAACTGGGGGCTAAAAAAGAAATACCTTTCCTCCCACCTTCTAAATTCTTCTAGCTAGGCTAATAATCAAATTAACACACAGATTAACAGGAGAAAATCAAATGTTTAATACATTTGTACACGGAATTCACATAAGCATGAAAATTCCAAAGACACCGAGGCAAAACTGGGTATATATGACATTTTAGACAAAGGAGAAAAGGTGGGGAATGGGATCTTAGATTCCAAAAGTGAGAGTGGGCCATTCACAGATAACCATAGAAGAGTGGAACATAAAAGGCAGGTACATTTTTGCTAAGCAGCCAAGAAACAATGAGATACTGCAAGGGGTGTCTAGTTAACAGGGCGGGTTTGACACCCTCCTATCTACCACACTCAATTCAAATTAGGCAAAGGTGCAGATGTTAAGACTTCTTTCCTGGAGCAAGTATTTCCATCTGAAACTCTTAAGCAGTAAAGGAGGGAGGGCCAAAGTTTCCTTCTAAGTCTTGTTTCTTAATAGCCTGTTTAAAATCAATATCCCAAAAAGCAGCTTAGATAGGCAAAGCTGTGGTCTCCTTCAAAACCAATCCTCTCCCCAAACCTGCTAGTCCTGTAGTCTTTCTCATTTCAGTAAATGGCAGTTCCATCCTTCAGTAGCTAAGGTCACTGACCTTAAAGCCATCCGTAACTTCTTTTTTCTCTCACACTCCATACCCAGTCAATAAATAAATTCTGAAGCTGTGTCTACAAAATGTATTCACATCTAAGCACTTCTCTCTACCTGTATTATCACTGCACTAATCCATGCACTAACTGCATTAGCCTTCAAAAGTTTTCTTGCTTCTGATGCTGGAGGGGCAAGTCCCTAGGGGAAAACTCCAGACCTGAGCCAAGAGGGTTCTCAGCTTCACACAGGAGCCAGAAAGAATTCAAGACTTGAGCCAGACAAGCAGAAGCAAGCTTACTGAGCAGAGAGGATAAGCAAGAAAAGCCACTTCATAGACTGGACAGTCCCTAAAAGAGAAGGAAGACAGACCCCACAACCATTTCCAGAAGTTGAGCTATTTATAGTTTCTACGGAAAATTACCGACTGGCAGAAAGAAATAGAGAGCGGGGTGGAAAAAATGTTACGATTAACCTTAACATTTACAAGGTATATTTTGTGGTCTGTTTTCCTTTTATGGTATTGGTAACCAGTAAGGTATTAATCAATCTTTGCAGGAATTTTCCTTGTTCTGGAGGCAACTTGTGGTCTGCTTGCATGCCTGTGTCAGGCAGCACGGGGCAGCCTCCTGACTTGACTTTATTTTATGTAGTTCCGATGCCTCTCTCCTATATTACTTCTACCCCTGCCCCTCTAGTTCCTAACCTCCCCACTTTGTTTTTGCTCAAATGTCAGTTTATCAATGAAGCCTTCCATAACCACCCATTTTTAAAACTGCAACTCCCAACACCTAGTGTTCTCTGTCTCTTCCTGCTTTATTTTTCTTCACTGTCCTTGTTACCAACCAATACACTACACATTCTAATTATTTATTACATAAGATATAAGCTACAAGTGGGTAGGGATTTGTACTTATTTGTTCATTAACATATCCCCAGTGCCTAAACTAACAATATATATGGTAAAGCAACATGGTGGATACAAATATTAATAATAGTGTGGATGATTTCCAAAAATGGTCCCCAATGAACCACATTTTCCAAGTGGTTCTGTGACATAAGTTAATCAGTAGAATGCAACTGTTAAAAAATTTTTTTTTAACTTTCAAGGGGGAAGTCTTCTGTGAAAGGAAGGATTAGGCCATGGACAGCAAGGAAGACCAGGTCCTGAGGCACGAAGCCTGAACCATCAGCAGTATGGTCAGGTGAAAAGATAACATGTCTACTGTCCTGGCGCTGTTGTTTTAATACATCAAGTATTTTAATACATCAAGTGGACCAAGTGGCGGGGAGAGAGGTGTAAGCCATTCTCAAACAATTTACATTAGCTGTAGACAAAGCAGGTGGGAGAAGATGAAGCAGAGCGAGCGATGGGATAGGCAGAGTCAGCAAGACGTGTCAACTCCTATGATTAGCTGTGGGCATGGACTGGAAAACTCATGCGTAAATAAGAAGCAGAGGCTCCAGGGTGCTATGGTGCCTGGCTATTCCCTTTCGGATAATCACAGAAATAGCCGCCTAGAAATTAATCTTAAATTCCACAAGATGGACACAGGAATGTGAGCAGTCTTTTCTCAGAGCTGGTCCACAGCTATTAACAGGCTAACTCTTCTCTCTCATTCTCTGGCAGCTGTAATTTAATGTGTCCAACCTGCTGCCCATGGGCTGCACGTGGCCCCGGATGGCTATGAATGAGGCTCAACACAAATTTGTAAATTTACCTAAAACCTTTTTTTTTTTTTTTGCTCACCAGTTTTTGTCTATTTAACATGTGGCCCAAGGCAACTCTCCTTCTGGTGTGGCCCAGAGCAGAGACGCCAAAAGGTTGGGCAGCCCTGATTTAGACCATCTCAGAATTTTTTTTCTAGTCCCAGCAGAACGAGAATGTCCCCATTCCAGGCCTGGCAGCTTCATTTCCATGCTTTTAGAAGCCCCTAAAATCTGGCTACTCTACTGGAGACCCCACAAAAAAGGACATGTGGATGTTACCCAAAAAATTTAACTAAAAAAATAAATAAAAAGAAAGGATATGTAGAGAGGTCGTTTGTCCATCTGAGAGCCCCAGCCTTTCAGGCATACATACCCTCAAAAAGCAACACATACTTTTGAACATTTCCGCCCCAAGTGACACCTGTCTACGGCTCAATGACAGCCTACAAGTGAAACCAGCAGAAAAACCCTGTGGCCCACAGAATCATAAGAAATAAATAAAACAGCTACTGCCGTAACTCACTAAATTGTTGAGTGGTTTATCACATAACATTAGATAACCATAACAAATGGCAAAGACAGAGTTTACTCTGTATCAGACACATATATTAACCCATTTAATATTTAAATAATCCTAGGATGTAGGTACTATTTTCTTTCTTCTACAGATAAGGCAAGAGAAGCATATGGATGTTATTTGTCAAAGAACACAATTCATAAATTGCTGGAGTCAAGATTTCAAGCTCAGAAGAACTCTTAAGTCCCCACTCAGAGGTAATTTTCCCCTTTATACCTCAAGTGTACAGAATTAACCACAATCATTTCCTTCAAGACATACTCTCATTGTTCATCCATACCTGACCCACTTTTACTTGATTCTTTCTAATAAAGCAATAAGCACCCACAAACTAGGACTCTGAAAACCATAATATTGCTCATCCCACTTCCCCAAACTTCCCTCCAAAATCATCCTGAATCGTAAGTTTCCATTCTCTCCCCTTCTTTTTTGTGCATTTTAGTGCATCAAAATGGAATCCTAAAAAGTGTTTGTGTGTATAGTTTGACTGTTTTTAATTTTTTTTAAAGCAGGTATGTTTTATGTAATTTTAGCAATTTTGTTTCACTAAAATAATTTTTACTGTATTGTCACTTCAGTTCTTTAAAAACTTTCATTGTAGTGTGTGTATATATATAAAAAACAAAATTTACCATTTTTAGGTGTATAATTCAGTGACATTCAGTACATTCACAGTGTTGTACACCAATACCACTTAATCATCCACCTCCAGAACT